TCTTTATGAAGAGAACATCGACTTTGATGTTAATGAACAAGCTCAGCTAGAGGAGGAAGAGGTAGAGCCTGACTATCTACTTGAAGATGAAGATCTTGACATCTCCACTAAAGAACATGAGCAACTTAAGTAGAAGTTCAAAGCTTTCAATTCCAAGGTGGATATGAAATCCCATGTGTTTAAAGTGGGCATGGTATTTGCTGATGTGGTTGAGCTGAGTAAAGCTCTTACTGCATATTCAATAAGGAACAGAGTGCAGATCAAGAAGCTGAAGAATGATAAGGTAAGATTGGAGGCAGTGTGTACTACAGGCTGCCCTTGGTTGTCATAAAGGCTTACAATTCAGAGCATGTTTGCCAGTAGAAATGGAAAATAAAAATTTGATAGCTAAATTCTTGTGCAACTTTTTCATAGATGAGTTCAAAGATGACCAGAAGCGTCACTTGGCACATTTTCAAGAAAAATCACTAGTGAATTCAATGTTACCCCTAACAGATGGAAGCTAGCAAGGGCTAGAAAGCATGCACTTAATCTGATCCATGGTGATGAGGAGGAGCAGTTCAGCAGGTTATGGGATTATGGGCATGAATTAAGGACCAAAAATCCTGGGTCTACATTTCTTCTTACTACTAAACTTGTCAAGGATACCAAGTTTCCATTGGGCAGGAAGTGTTTGAAAACATTGTATTGGTCTTATGATCCATGCAAAAGCGGGTGGCTAAAGGGCAGCATGCCAATTATATTCATTGATGGCCGTCATATGAAAACAAGGTTCAAAGGAGTGTTGCTTAGTGTTGTGGGTATTGATCTTAATGACTGCATTTTCCCAATGGCAATCGGCTAGGCGGAAGTAGAATGCACTGGTTCATGGGAGTGCTTTACCAGTTTGAAAGATGATCTAAACATCATTAACACTATTCTACCAGCTCCTGCTTGATGATGTCTGGCACGTCTGGAAGCAGGCCCCCTTCAATTGGACGAGCCTTGTGACCACCCTCCCTGGCGTCAACGACGGGAACCACCATCTGGATCTCCGGCTCGTCGTCCAACAGTACGACCACCTCTATCTTCTCCTCGTTAGACGTGCCACTGTCCGCCCTGTAGCCAGAGTCATTGTCGGAGTCAACCTTGTAGTGCTCGGAGTCGTCGTCGTTGGACGACTCCGCGTCAGAGATGTCGTCGTGGACGAGGAGCTCGGGGTGGAATCTGTCACAGTACGCGGTGTTCACCGGCACCATGGATGCGACGCGGAATGGATCCGGGTGTGGTGAGGGCGTGGTGGTGGATCGATACATCCACCACCTCACGCGCTGCCTCGGGTCGTCGGAGCGCGTCTCCAGCATTGCGAAGTAGAGGATCAACGGAGGCGCAACACCCAGCCCGGGGGGCATTGCCCGCCGCTTCTCGTCGTCCGTCATGATCTTGATGAGACCACGAGCGTGGTGGCGCATCATGCCGACGCTAGGGAACCAACGCGCGATCTCGCTGCGGTCCGTGCGGGCCACCTGGTCATCGCCGGCCAGATCCTCGATCGCGCGTTGCCTCGCTGGGGTGTTATCCATGTCGTCGTCGACAACGTTGAGCTTGGCGGCGAGCGAGGGTTTCAATGTGAGGCGTGGAAGTTGGTGGAGCGGTGAGACCGAAGAGGCTTGGGTGGACTGGGCAGGGGAGTGGAGCTAGTGGAGTGGGCGACTACAGCGGTGGGTGGTCTTAAAGGCCTGGAAACCGAACGGGCGAAGAAAACCTCGGCCCATAATAACTACCTAGTTACCTAGACTCCAAACAAATCACTACTACTACTCTACTAGCATTGATCTCAGCGATTGTAACAAAAGGGCCTGGGTTCGAGCCCCAGGCGCACCAATTTTTAATTCAATAGTTACAGCACTATGGCACAACAACATAATATGAATTCTTAGCATAACCAAAACTTCTGCAGATAGTGACAAACTAACCTCACTTGTGACAGAGTAGCCGTCGGACGATGAGCTGGATCCTTCACTCCAAGTTACCATGACGGCGAGCTGGAGTGGGGGAAGGAAGCGAGGGAGCAGAGAGGTGAGTGAATGGGTGAGCTGCCAACAGGATTAGAAAGAATATTCCAAAGAATATACCAACACAGGTGTCATTTGGTGGTGCACTGCGGGTTGATAAAGGAAGAAGGCAGGGGCCTAAGTACAAAATGATGTGCGCTGACCAGCTAGTCCACTTGGCATCCAGTTGACGAGCTGTGATTGGCCTAGGACTAAACTTGCACCTTCATGACAAGTTCACGGATGAAATAATCCGCTTTTGCAACTACAAGGATTAAACCATCACATGTTGTGCAAGTATAAGGATCTGGGATGCTATTACCTCATCGTAGAAAGGGCAGGCATCCTAGTGAGGCAGTCCCAATCTCGCCAATCTTTCCTACGTCCATCATCGGTTCCTCATGGCCAACAAAGCAAAGAATCAACATTGCAGTGGCACTTTAGACTTCGACACAAACTCTCGGTATGGTACCACTTCCTGCCGTGCAAACTTTTGGTCGCATTATGGACCGATCTAACTGACAAAGCACCATTCATTTTCCCACGCCCAACTGACCGTTCTGGTACGGCACCATTCATTTTCCCACGCCCAACTGACCGAATCTGGTACTACCTCCGTTTCAGTTTACAAGTCCTACGCGTATATCTAGGTTACTAATTTTATCACCTTAATACAAACTATATAACACAAAAATTATACGGTTTGAAAATAAAACATCTGAAGTTTATATTGATATATTTTTTTAATATATGACTTGTATTAGGTTGATCAAATTAACGACCTAGAGGCACGCGTACGCCCTGTAAATAGAGAGAGAGGTAGTACGTCCTAGTCAGGCCCTCGACCGTTGCATTACTCCTCTCGTCGTCCTTCACTTATATTTAATTATAATCGACGAGCACCACTTCTTAGGAAAAAAAATGTATCTCCCGCACGGCCGCAGCTCTTACCACTCGACCACGTCCACTCCGGCACGGCTGTCGTTGCCTCCGCTGGCCACCACGCACCACGGCAGACTCCCTTACCACCCAACGCTCCTCCACCCAACTTCAATTCGGCACTTCGGTCATCGCTGCTGGAATCGACACATCTACACCCATCACTGATGTCGTTGGATTCGACGCACATAGGCCCTGACGCAGGCACGTTTCAACGGAAACTGAAGTGTGCTGCCACCCCGACCACTCTGCACCACCTCGCAATATGTCTTCCTCCTCTTTGTGCTCACATCTCACTCGTCCTCCGATTGCTGGTGCATCCTCGGCCGCTGGTCGGCTGGGTTTAACCCTCGTCCAGGAACTCGTCGACGAGCCTATGCTGATCATGAAGTCTGCTGACTGCTACTGGCTGGTGTTGCGTCGAGTCTTGAAGATGGTACAACATCCTTGGTAGGTTTTCTACAAGTGTGAAATGGACAAGGTGAGTACAATTTTGTGCGGTTTAAAGCAATTTGTGCTCATTGTTTACATGCATCGATATGTTTATCAAAATAGGTGTATTGAATGTTGGTGCACTAGTTGTTAGAGATGGGATTACAGAGGACGCAATGTCCAAGTTTTAGAGGCAGAGAACAAACAATTGTGCACGCTAGGGAAGTCATCAGAGAAGAGCAAACATGTTGGCAATATATGAACATAAGGAGATGGAAAAAGTATTGATTGGACTTGTTGGAGCAGTCAAGGAATTTGTGTTTCTATTGAAGTGTGTAATTTTTGAGACTTTTTACGGTGCATCATACTCCCGTAAATAGTGGTTAGTATATAATTGATCCAACGTCATTATTTATCCCTATTTTTTCTCCTGAGGACATTTTGGTAATTGGCTGCTAGGGTAGATTAGTCCTTTTTTAATGATAATTTTACTGATTAATAATATGAGTAATTGCAATGACTAATAATGTAAGTAATCACACCTGGAAAAAAGAATTGTCCCTATCTTAGTTCGTAGGTTTCCCTTCTCATTCTCATAGAGTTCTTCATTTTCTGCCGCCGCCTAGCTGCCCGGCGGCCGTCTCTAAGTCGCACAGGGCGGCCGCTCCTTCTCCCGCCCTGCCATCGCCGCCGCAGTATCTTGGACAGGGCCCCAAGATCTTCAACGGCGCAGCCGCCCCACGCCGCCCGGCGGCCCTCTCTCAGTCGCACGATGTTCAGACGGCGCCGGAGATCGGTTCCTTCGTGGGTTGTGGTGGAGATCCGTCGCATAGGTAAGTTGCCTCTGATCCTCCCCAAACGCCATAGCTGTAGGCATGAAAAGGGCTGCCGGATCTGTGTGCATGTGGATGCTGGCTGTGCACGCAGTAGGAATTCCAAAAGGTCTGCTGGATTTGTGTGCGTGTGGATGCTGGATTAGTAGTGTGTGTGAGGTTTCTAGATCTTCTCATTTTTCCTACCATCGAATAGTAGTGTGTGTGACAACAGAAATAAATTATGATGGCGTCAAGGGTTTGTACTGTGACTATAATGCTTCGCCATCACCTCAGATTATGAGTTTGATATTGTGGGAAACGTGTTACTTCTTAGAAGAACTTAATAAGGTTATTTCAAAACCAAAATTTCTCAGAACCTGAATTTTTGGATAGAGATGATAAAGTTGCTTTGGTGTCTATGCAGTTCGGGATAAGTATGCATATGTATATTTTACGAAGCATTCGAGCCAACACACACCTGGAAGCTGTGATGCGATTTACATTCATATCACACAGGAATGAAAGTGCATGTACGGCCTGTATGCCCATGCTATGTGAACAGAAGCAATCTCGAACAATAAACATGAAAAGAATGGGTTAAATTACTCTGCCCATTAGGACTGTAGGCTTCTCAGGGAATTAATAAGGATGTCAGAGATTCTTGGTTCAGTTACGGATGATAATCTTTGACAATTTATAATTAATATGTTTTAGTTCTAGCATATTTTCTTTCATGTACATATGTAACGGGCATTGTTGTTTCTTATGACAGGATAACGACATGGGTGGTGAAGGGTATGACTCGATGGTCAGGCAGACATTTAAAAGCGAGAACGAAGCGTACAAGTTCTACTTAGGGTATGTGAAGAACAAAGGGTTTGTGACTAAAGTTAGTATGATGACTCGGGGGAGAAAGAGAAAAGAGAACAATGACGAAGTGTGTGCTAAGAAGAAAAGACCTTTGAAGTTTATGTATTTTCAGAATATTGTACATGTTGAACCCTGTTTCGATACCATGCTAATTTATTTAATTTTGTACAGGAAAACACCTGGAAAGTCAAGTAGACAGACTAAGATGACAAGGGGAACACAAGTATTATACATTCAGATTTTTACTATGGCATTTATCATCAGAGTTATATTTCTGCTTTGAATGAGATGTAGACGCACACTACAGTTTCACTTTTATGAGATTACAATTGATAAGATGCATCAGTGTTGTCACTTGTTGTTAGCGTACTGGCCTCTTCTCTAGTGCATGACTACATGCCCATCTTCTCTTTATGTTTGTAACAGTCGACAGGTGAATGAACATCCTTGGAGTTTCTCTGGTGCTAATCCTTATCACAGCGGCCATGCATGCCCGTGCCAATCATACATTACATGGAATTGATCAATCATGTTTCGTGTTCAGACGCTTTCTCTTGGACCATCAGTGCATTATGAATCAGTAAGAGCAAGAAAACCACCAAGATCCAATACGTTCATTCAGTTCAACAATGAATGATCTCAGGCCCACAAAAAAAAATTCTCTAGCTGACATCTAGTCTTACAAAGTGGGGATTAAAATTCTAGCAACATATATGATCATGCCGAACCAAAAAAGTATTGAGTATATAATACATCTGTATCTCCCTTCTTGTAATTTCTTGGCGAGCATTATCTTATTCGACGTGGCCTTCTCCCCTGAAGTATGCAACTCTGACGCTAGAGAGTATAGTTTGATCTCTAATTCTGATATTTGTTGGTCCTTCTCCTTCAAAAGCAAGGCCGTAGTAGCCAATGCATCTTTGTGACAACTGTCCATAGCCATTCTGCAGTAATTGACCATCTGCTCAGTGTAATTTTTGAGGAGGTCTTCCTGAATGAACGACTTGCAACCCTGCATACATTAATAACATGGGGAAAAGTACAAGTCAATGATAAAACACTAATATCATGCATGTTGCATTTTAGGTAGCACAGTAATACTTCAGAAATGTCTAGGTTGGAGGCCGGGCGATAGGCCGAGAAAGAAGAAAATGAAGTGATTGGATGGATTGAAACCATGTATATAATGGGCTATTTTTCCATAACACACACAGTGACACAAGCAACAAAGCTTTGATTGTAGGTGAGTTTAGAATTGATTTGTGCATTCCATCACCTGAACGTATGGATTTTTGGGGTCATTCATGAACGAATTTTACAGGAGCTGCTTCTTCGTTACATGAGATTCATTGGTGCCAGTTGCATCCAACCTCTATACATGAGCTCCGTCCCTGGGGTGATTAGAGAGGCCGGAAGATTAGCAATGTCTAGCAACAGATAGGAGAGTACCTGAGCCACCAATCACTAATCTCTTTCGAACGCCAGCACTAGGAATCAGCAGACAAAATAAGGACCGAACACTTGATATGCCCCTGGGGAGTTAGTGCAGTACATATGAGAGGTTGGGGATGGCCATGAGGAGGTCGGCATGACATCGTTCACCACGGGCTTCTCCGGCGGCTGTGTGCTGCCTACGAGGAGGAGAATCAACCGTGGATCCCAGCCACCAGCGTCTGATCTGGATGGTCGAAGAGGAGCCCGTGCTGGAACTAGATGGATGAGGAGCCCGAGATGTGGTTACGAGATATGTCGAACTCCTCCAACTCGGCGGCGCGCAGGGCCGTGACGGACGGCTACGGGCTATGCGGAACTACCAAAACTACCCCTGATCGCAAAATATACTACCCAAAATCTGCAGTAGTATTTCCATATCTAGGCCGTCCAAACAAAAAAGTGAACGGCCAATATTGATCTGATGCACCGTAAAAGGTCTCTAATTTTTCTCGCCGTTTTCTTTGGATTGGTTCACCCGGTGAGGACTGGTGAAATATATGCTCAAGATACTGTTTAATGAAGTAATTGAGTAGCAAAGCTTAACTCAATGGCCTAAAAATAAATGAATTGGTGTTAAAATAAGTTGTTGAGGAGTTAGGTTGTAGGGGTTTGGTTAGGACCGGATTTTTTTGAACTCCTCAAAGATAAGGAGTTAAGTTGTTGAATAGCCTACATTTTGAGGGATCGGACAGAGATGCTCTAACCTGAGGTGAGGAGATAAGTCTTGCAATCCAGGACTTGATCATCAAGGTCCAATCAGTGTATACCAGACCTGTGATCATCGACATACTCCGTTTCACCTATTAGTGTATCCTGCACTCAGGAAAAGCATCATCAGTTTCCATGGACACAACACACAGGTGCAGCATAGTTGTTCTGCGACTTTCTATCAAGCAGGGTTGTGCATGCGGAACCATCAAGGACTTCCCATGATTGACTACGAGGAATTCAATGATGACCTTCCACGATGGCCTCCTCAGTACTTGTCTCTTGCCACGCTTCTCAATACTGTAAAAGCTCTTAATTAAGGGCATGTCATCATTTTTGCTGAAAAGCGTGATAAACAGCATAGGACTATATGGACATCTTGAAATACTATACACCACAAAAAGGGCATACAAATCCAGAGAATCAATGGATCAATACTAGGCACATGCATACTAGATGTTTAGTTTTTTTTTCCTATAAACTTCGTCAAGCTTAAACAGGTTTGACGTAAGACAAGATTAATTGAGTAGTTCTTCTGCAACATATTAACAGGAAACAGATTGCTCGATACTGTTGGTAGCCTGACAACAAAACAAACAATGAAACTATCCATGCTTCTCATGTTAAACTGTTGAAGCATATGAAATCATGAATGATCGTTTATTGCTTTGCTCATATATCCAGAAGTTTCGCTACAGTTCGTACATGTACAACCACAGTCTCTACAGGACTCCAGGAGAAGTCTGCTTCAATGTTTAGCTGGTCAAAGTACAGTAGGTATCCTAAGAAACGGACTTTGTTTGGGATCAACAGCAAAGCAAATCTGTGAGATGCATGTGCGCTTGATTCCGAAGCATGCACCAGCAGGATAACTGGAACCATCGGTCCAACATCAGCAATACTATCGCAGATATCAGGGAGCTCTGCTGTTGCTAGGTCTACTTCCCGGACAGGTCGTTCAGCCACTGCTCCCGACGTCTCATATTCCTAGGTTTCTCACGTATTTTTCATTATTCTCTAACACTTATGTACCTATTTGATATAATAATTTAGTTGGTGCTACCATGAGCCCATGACACTAAAATATAATAAGGCTAGCTTGTATATTGAAGATGAAGTGGTACATATGAGAAGAGATCCTTGTTCACGTAACTGAAGGTTTCTGTGGTATATATAAGAAAAGCTTTATGCATGTAAGTAGAGGTTGGTGGTCCAGCACTTCTTAATTTTAAATTATCCTCCATGTGCAATTTATTGCAGCACACAGTTCAGGAACTCAATTAGCCACTGACGGGATGATTGAAAAGAAGAGGTTGATATATTAATGCTACACAAAACCATCATTGTTGATAACTATTTGTCTTCCTTAGTTGCAACTAAAATGTCTTGTTAACGAGATAAACTTCAAACAAATTCCTCTGTGCCAGAATACGACTAAATCAATTCTTTAATGTCACCAATGAATCAAATGGAATTCATAGGTCGAGCACACCCCTGGGACCTACATGACCATATGGACCCAATAGAATTCATAAAGTTGATCATGTATGCACGAAATCATCTCAGAATGTCGCAAATAATTTCATCAAATTTTTGATGATGTGACCGCAAGGTGGAAAATTTGAAATACGAGAGTTTACGAAGAGCATTTGTACAAGTGTATTAGACCTACTTGCATGAACTCATCCTCCAATAATTTTAAAGTTGCTCATCGCTACGTGGACAGCCACCCATGAAACTTCAAATAATTCCATGAATTTCTTCTATTGCAAACGCAAGGTTGAAAATTTAAATACATTTTTTTATGAAATCCATCTGTACAAGTATATGGGATCCACTTGCAAGAATTAATATGCTAATTAGCTCAAAGTTTCTCCTCGTCACTTGAGCGACGCTCGTTAAATTTAAGATAATTCTATGAAAGTTTAATAGTGTCAATGGGAGGCGTTCAAGGAGAGGGTCATTAAGGAGGGCCCTTGGGAGGAAGGAGGGGATGCGGACAATGTGTGAATGAAGATGGCGACTTACATTCGTAAGGTGGCCTCGGAGGAGTTTGGAGTGTCCAGGGGAAGGAGAAGCGAAGATAAGGATACCTGGTGGTGGAATGATGATGTCCAGAAGGCAATTAAAGAGAAGAAAGATTTCTTCAGACGCCTATACCTGGATAGGAGTGCAGACAACATAGAGAAGTACAAGATGGCGAAGAAGGATGCAAAGCGAGCAGTTGGTGAAGCAAGGGGTCAGGCATATGAGGACCTCTACCAACGGTTAGGCACGAAGGAAGGCGAAAGGGACATCTATAAGATGGCCAAGATCCGAGAGAGGAAGACGAGGGACATTGGCCAAGTCAAATGCATCAAGGACGGAGCAGGCCAACTCTTGGTGAAGGACGAGGAGATTAAGTATAGATGGCGGGAGTACTTCGACAAGCTGTTCATAGGGAGAATGAGAGTTCTACCATTGAACTGGACGACTCCTTTGATGAGACCAGCATGCGTTTTGTGCGGCGAATCCAGGAGTCTGAGGTCAAGGAGGCTTTAAAAAGGATGAAAGGAGGCAATGCGATGGGCCCTGATTGTATCCACATTGAGGTGTGGAAAGGTCTTGGGGAGATAGCGATAGTATGACTAACCAAGCTTTTCAACCTCATTTTTCGGGCAAGCAAGATGCCAGAAGAATGGAGACAGAGTATATTAGTACCAATCTTCAAGAACAAGGGAGATGTTCAGAGTCATTGAGCCCTCTTAAGAAGAATGACAAGCGTGACAAAAAATCAGTTTGGTTTCATGCCTGGGAGGTCGACCATGGAAGCCATTTTCTTGGTACGACAACTTATGGAGAGATATAGGGAGCAAAAGAAGGACTTGCATATGGTGTTCATTGACTTGGAGAAGGCCTATGATAAGATACCACAGAATGTCATGTGGTGGGCCTTGGAGAAACACAAAGTCCCAGCAAAGTACATTACCCTCGTCAAGGACATGTACGATAATGTTGTCACAAGTGTTCGAACAAGTGATGTCGACACTGACGACTTCCCGATTAAGATAGGACTGCATCAGGGGTCAGCTTTGAGCCCTTATCTTTTTGCATTGGTGATGGATGAGGTCACGAGGGATCTCTGTTGGAAAAGATGGTGCCTAGGAGACGCTTAGGCACGCCTAGGCGCAAGGCAATGGCCAAACGCCTCGCCTAGGACATAAATGGAGGTCTAGGTAGGGCAAGCAAGGAATTGCCTACCCAAGAAAGAAATCATGCCACATATTGCACTGATATGCCAAACGGGTTATATTTCAATGGCACTAGATGGTAATTAACTTATTTATATGCCCTGAACTAATATCAACACCCATATAATAATCACAAATACACTACAATTTAAAACTATATTACCGCCTAGGGCGCTTAGGCACCGCCTAAGCACTAGGAGAAGGC